AACGCCTAATAAGCTACGCCTCTCGAGCTATATACTACTAGCTCTTATAGTAGTTAAATAACGAAAGTCTACTTTTCTATCTATAAAGTATATTAAGTATTATCTTCTTTATAGAATACTTTCTATTTAAGGCCTATAAGTTATTTAGGTAAGTATTACTATAGGTAGCGGATTACGTTATAGTATATAGCGAGGCTTTCGTTTTATATCGACTATTTAATAGTCTATCTTTATCTCGTTATATTATACTAGGATCTTAACTTTTTTTTCGTAGTACTTATAACCTCTCGGCGAGTATACGTAATCTAATAGTATTATTTATCCTTAGTATCGAGCTTTATACTAACTCGATTAGAGTAATATACCTTATTTTAAGAGAGTTTAGATCTAATAAAAGGAACTTCTTATCGTCTCTAAATTTAATAATAACTATTACTTATAGTTTAGAAAGTTCTATAGTATTCCTATTCTCTAGCTCTATACCTAGGCTAATATAAAAAGTGTCTAGTATATATTTAATCTATATACCTAGCTCTCTAAAATTAGGCGTATAGTCTAGTAGTATAATTCTTCCTTAGTATTTATCTATAATAATACTATATAGAAGAGGTTCTAGGTTTAATTATAAGTATAATAGTATAAATACTACGTTAGGGATTCTAACTAACGATATAATTAGCCTAGCGCGTCTATTAAATAGTAAGTTTTTTGTTTTACTAAATTTTCTAACTCTATACTCTAAGAATATCTTTTCGACTAGTTATTAGCCCTAGTTGCGCCCGCGTACTCTTTCGTATATACTTAGGCAGAAGCACTCTCTCGATTCTACTTTATAGTATTAAAGTAGTACTAGAATAAGGCAAAAGTAGTACTATAGTAATATAGAGTACGTCGCAGGATCTACTGTTATATAGTCGTTAAAAATAATGCTGCTAGTATAAGAAATTAGTAGTGCATTGTAAGAAGAAGTAGTGCTCTAGGTAGAGCAAGTAGTTGACGTTTTGCCTACGGCGGCTACTGCGTAATGCTTTTCTTTCGCACCTTCGGCGAGAGCTTAGGGTATGCACTTCCGTTCTGGAAGTTAGTAGTAAGGTTGCTCTTTCCAAATTTGGCAGGCTGCGTCAGAAGGAGGAAAGAGTCTTCTGCTGGTGCATGCCTCCGGCGGCCACTGCGTGGAGCTTTTCTTTCCTGCCTTTGGCAGAAGGGTGTTGTCTCTCCTTCCTCGTTAGGTCCCTTCCCAACATTCCCAGGCCTTCGGCCTGCGAACGTTGGAAATTCCCAGCGCGTCCATTCTTTTGTGATGTATACTGGCTCTAGAGTGTTGTCGATGCTTTTGTTTTGCTTGGGAAGTGGAGGGGCAACTCTAGGCGAGCGTGCGGCGATTTTCGCTCCAGAAGGACCATTGCAACGACGAGTCCTCTACAAGCCCATGCTCTTAGCCTTCCCTCCCCTTTCCTCTGCAAGCAAGAATTGTGATTGATTTTTTGGCCAAGAGGGTGTTGAACATGCGGTGATGTTGTTGGAATGAATAGCGAAAATTTTGCCGAAATTCCGTCCGCTGACCCGACCCGAAACTCCTCTCAGAGAGGCGTTTAATCTGAACACAACAACTGCGACAACAGGGCAATGACGATATTGGGGCACCAACCAGTCATCCAGAAGTTGGACTGGGATTGCGTACGATGTGCGTCCCCATCGATCCTGCAGTCGTCGTTCGGGGCGCAGCCGAAGCTACGCAACTCGTCCTTTTTGGCATTGCGTCCGCTCTTACATCCAACACCCGATATCCTGATTGCGATTCCAGGCTCTGGAGTGGTCGCAATAATGTGAGCACATCCGCATGCCAATCAGGACTCGCCCCTTAGCGTATCTAATTTCTCCGCAGCATGCCACGATGGCCAGAGCGGCCTTCCTCGCGAAGCACGGAGAGGACTTGCATAGCACCTTGGCCTACATGAATCCTACATGATACCCCATGGCACCATCCTGTCAGATCATTCGGAATCAAGCGCACCGCTCGAGTTGCGATACGCGATCATGCCGCTGGCCGAATTGCTGGAAATGAAAGGAGCATGCACATGTAGTCAACACGTGAGTGACACTTCAACCGTGCCAAGGTGTCACTGAGGTGTCCTGTCGCGATTGCACGGGTCTGGCCTGTCAATCAAACCAATTCTGTTTATCGTGCTTGAGCCTCCGCCCCAAGACGAACGCAGCGACAAATAGTACACCCGAAAGGAAACGATGCACACGAATCAAGAACATGATCCAAAGTCATCGTCATTGATTCTGCGAGATTGTGCGACGCCTTCGCAGTCGCAATGCGCGTCAACCCACACATGTGGAACAAATGAGTTGACATTGGTCAGTACCTGCGTTCAGCGGGTTACACAGCATGAACCTCGGATTACGCTTCGACCCATTTTCCGGCCAACGGCACTGGGGAAAAGGCATGAAATGGAATCATGGAGACGGCATGGAGCTCAGTCACGCTAGATATCTCGACAACGAGTTCGCTTTGACTGCCAAGACCGTTCTGCCATCGGCTCCCCAAGATGTGTTCGTACAAACTGCGGAGCGCCGCGTCAAATGCGGTGGGACGTGATCCAGTGGCTTATTCTTGGTGACCGGGTCTGGACGCCTGGGGAGCACAGCGGATTGATACATATGAACCTCACTGCCTCACGTCCGTTGTCCAAGATACCACGCTCTCTTACGAATCGCAATAATGGCCTCAACAATTTTCCAGCTCCTCGCTGCCTTTGCAGTGCTCAACACTGTCGTTCCTGTCGCAGCACAGGGCAACTATTCATCGGATGCGATCCCTATCGCTCTTGGAGGCAAGGAAGCCAAAATCAGCAAAGAGTTCATTGAACTCATGGCACCTGACTACAAAAGTAAGTCAGGTATTTGATAAGGCGTTTCGTGGCGCAATGTGCTGACATGTCCTGCATCATAGTCGTCCACGTCATTCACTCTGCTTCCGATGGCAAATCCGAATTTGGTCCTCTGCTCGCGGGCGAGGCCACCATCCCAGTCTCCGGACTCGGCTCGAACATCAACAACCCTTCTCCAGAGGCCCCATGGGCGATCTTTATTGGCGGCGGTTTCGCTGCTTCGGAAATCAACGAGATGTATGGGAGTAGCTTGGCTCTTCAGACCGTTCCATGGCTATACCCTCCAACTACAGCCCGAGCAAACGGCACCGTCGTGCCGCCGACCGCGATGATTGTAGAGAGGGTTAAGGCTATATTTAGAGAGCATGGGTGAGTCTCCGTAAAGCCTGGACTGGCCCACTCGCTGTATGAGTATTCCACGTGATTGCTAACATGTTTCTTGCTAGATTGGTCCCTGGAAACGGCACCAAGCCAGCTGGAGGTATCTGGTCGTTCTAAAGAGCTTGACATATTGAGGAACCCAGAGCTCGAGAGCAGGAGCCCCGGCAAATTTTCGTATCTTCTTTTTCATCTTCGATACCGGGAGCTGTTATCAGAGCGGCGGCAAGAATTAGCAATGCTTTGAATGTTCATAAGACGACAGAATAGAGGGCTGACGGTGGCCACATTGAGACAAACCGATCCACCACTCCATTCCACGGTGCCTCTAGCCAACAGCCACATTCACTGCTGAAGTCTGCGAATAGAAATATGCCTAGAGATCGCACACGACCACTTGGATCATTACCCAGAATAATCCCACGCCCGCTTCTGATACCCCGACGCGACAGCGAACAGGATCGAGCCCCACGCCATCGCCATCGCTTACCTGCTAGCAACTCTGCTCTCGACAGCATGCGCTCATCAAGCCAAGGCTACGCCTGTCTGAACAGGTGCGGCGCAATCCTTGCAGCTCCTGGATATTGCGCTCGCTGTGCAGTAAGTATATTGGTGTTCGGAGAGGAAGCATATTTTACGACTGCTTTTTGAAACAGAAGCTTTTGACGCAGCCGAGAATCTGAGTGCACGCCATAATGGTGGATGTACGAGGATGATAATTCTGTAGAAATGCAATGCGGATCCGACTTTCTTACTTCTGCTGCTCGACTTCAAAAGGGGTTTTCATGTATGTGCAGGACATCAGGCGCTCTGTTGGTCTTGTAACACCCTTTTCGGACCGACGTTGTTGCCCTCTTGTGCCGTGAAATGTCGGAATGTTGATGTTGAGGAAGAGGCAAAGGCGTAAGGGAAAGCAAAAGGTCACTCCGCAAAGGCCGAATCTCGGACTTGGCATCGCGCTTGCCTGGTGTGCTTTGATCAAGAACATCCATGGCCATCCTGTGCCTGGGTCAAACTTACATCACTTTATCAATTCCACAAGTCGACGTTGTTTGTCGCGTCAACAGTCTCTAAACCTAGGCGAGACTCAGCCATACCGTGGGCTCGTAGAGCTGAATGGACACACGTACATCAGCGACAGCGAGCTGACACGCTCGTTAATCGTGAGGACGAACAAAGGCAATAGGGATGCTCTTTGTGCTCGTATCATAGTCACATGATGGAACCATCGAACAGCGCTCGTCAACTTAGGGGACATGAAGTGTTCACGTCATGGACGGGAAATAGAGTTTGTGGCATAAGCTACCATTGACCAGACACAGAGATCAAATAATGGTTCAGACCTCTCCCACAGAAAGCGAAGACATTGCAAGCAGGCCATCGCGAACTATACAATGCTGTCATGGCTACCAATTCCGACGTTCCTCGTACACGCCTTGAACTCAGCATTCACTGGAGAGCCAAGACCAGGACTTCGACCGATACCTGGAACTAAGCCACTAACTTTGGAAGCTCTACTTTGTCCAGTTCTATTATACTACATAGGAATTTTGCTTCTGCCGCCTCCACCGCCGCAGTCAGTGGCAACGTTCAAGATTGGCGCACTTCGAAACGTACTAGCTGCAATCGCGGCGTACCTCTTCCTCCGGTTGCCTCTGGCGTACCATGTGCCACAAAGCATTGGTCTAACCTATCAGCTTGGCTTAGTGGGCATATATGGAGGATTGCGAGTCCTCGATGCGTTCTTCATCAGCTATTATGGATTCAGTCATATTCCGCGAAGAGTGACATATACGCACCACCGTCGCGCCGAAACTCCCCGAGGAGAGTCTGCGCCTCGTCCTTGGGCTGATGGCGGAAGCAATGGAATGCTCAAGAAGCCCTCTACGGCGCATGCTCCAGACAAATCAAATGCGAATGCACACTCAACCGCCCTGGCAGAGAAAAGTGATGACTTGTTAAAAGTCACGCGTCCAAAGCCGCAACGTGCAATCTCGCAGTCTAGCTTGCTCGAAAACATGACGAGCCAATCATATACCGAACTTTTGAGCAAGGACGATGGATACATGACCATGATGCGCAAACTGATCGACGGACCGAAGCCCATACCAGTCATCGAGACCGCGCACACTGAGGATGGTTGGCCGCATGGCTTTGCTGATCGCGCCTCGTGGGCACTGGAGTTGGAACTATCGATGCGAGGAGTGGGCTTCACGTGGACGACGGCCGACGTACGACATACATCAAAGACTTGGCTGCCTACCGTGCAGAATCGCATCCATTCGTTGCTCGTGCATGTTGGACCAGTACTAGTCATTGCATGGGCAGTCATTCGGACCGTATATGTGCGACGATTGGCACCGATGATGGACAGGATCGATCCGCCTCCGTCACCATTCGATGAATTGTCACTTTCGGAGCAATATCTACTTACCACTGCACTTGGAGCGTTCCTGATGGCTGCGTTCTCATTCGGCCATTCGCTCTTCGCAATCATCTGCTCGCCATTGGCACCTTCGCCGCTGGCCTTCTTTCCCCCGCTCTACACGACACGAGTCTGGGACATCACATCTGCTCGAGGCTTCTGGTCATATGGATGGCACAGACTTTTCGCTCGTCTGTTCCTGGTTTGGGGCGTATGGCCAGGCGAGTGGCTAGAGAGGACAATCACGGGCAAATCTTCTGACCAGCCTGCCGACATTGGCAAAGTGCTTGGTGGCTTCTTGAGTTCTGCGGTCGTACATTCTTTGTCCGTGAGAGGTACGGTTGGCGGTAGCTGGGCCGACGCAGCTGGCGAGGCCAAGTTCTTCGCGCTGAATGGTATCGCGATCATTATCGAAGAGGGCGTCAAGCGAGCCGTCATCCGAATGAGAGCTCGTAGTAATGGCAAACCACAGATGTGGTATGACGATTCGATTGGACGTATCTGGTGGATCGGCATTTTGTTAACGACTGGACGCAACTTCGCTCGCGGCTGGACAAAAGGAGGTCTCGTACGCGAGATGGCATTCATGTGAGCTTGGGTTTTCAAAGACTCGTTTGCAAAAGTCGGTCGATGTCTGGAATTCTCCTTAAGCTGTGATTCGCGTGTTCTCTGTAATACACAATACCAACTGCCGGCAGGACAATCCTTTGCCAAAGAGCATTCACTTGAATGGGCAAACAGTGCGAGGTGATCCGTCAAAACATACACTGTAAGCATGGTACAACCAATCCAAGATTCTGACATACAAGTCCAGCGCTAATACGAAAGGAGTCTTGGGTACCGAGTTCTGTGTCTTGCTCAATACGAGGCGGCGAGAACATCGCCGGTGGTGGCATCCTGTATGTTGGTTCACTTCTAAAATGAGTTTGAACTTACGTGTCACTGGAAGAGCCTGACCTCAACGCCCTCGCTCAACTATGCGGCACTCTTTCGACGTTGTACTGGCCTCACGGTTCAGCTAACGATATCAGTTGCATTCGATGCGAGCTGCAGCATCTGCGGGACCATTGGTCTATACTTGCTAAAGACAATCCACGCTGGCCATTCTTCTCATTTTCGTTTGGGCACGGCCACGATCCATATCGCCAACAAGGTGCTTATCTCATAACAAGCATTGCAAGGCTTACATTGCAGTTCAACCGTGTTGCTGGGTTTCGGGCACTCTGAAGATGAGAAGTGGTCACTCTAGGGAGGTGTCGCGGAGCGACATGTGGTGAGCTTCGCATGTGGGTAAATAATACTTTAACCATTGCAAGCATGCAATGCCAACTTTTCAGAGGGCGAAACAAGCTAGCGTCCTTGTATGACCTCGCAGCCATCCGATATTCGCTCTGAGATACCCCAATTGAGAAAGTGGACAAACGACCAGAAGCTTTCCAGTGCACCCGGTGTACTAGGCCTCCGCTGGCGACATGCACTGTCCATGTTGTTGGACGAACAAACACGAGGCCATATGAGAATAGTATCACAAGCTCTTCGCCGAAAAGTGCCGCAGTCGTGAAGATGGTCTATATAAGCAACGTGATCGCACGTTCGATGAGTGAAGCACAACTCAGCAACACCGACAATCAGAACACATACGCCAACGAGAAAGGGTCCTCCTTCATCACGTCTTCTGCCATCTACGACAATGCAGACCTGGTCGATCTTAGCCGCTGCTCTGACACTGGTACCTAATGGCCAAATATTCGACTACCATAGCTTCGCTGATAGATTTTGGCAGGTCGGAGTCTTCGCTGCGGGGCCAGTAGAAATGAACGGCCAAGCAAATATGGCCAAGAGAGACAATAGTCATGTTCCGACCTGTAAAAGCATCGGGCATCCTGTAAGAAAGTTCATGCATCGAGAAGCTGGGCAGTGCTGACCATGGAGTAGTCCAAATGCAGGTCCGAGCCTGGCTGCGGATATGTAAGAAGTATTGTACGAAGACATTCATACTAAGTTCTGACCGTGTACAGAAAGTCTGCCATTTTGATCTTGGCGCCACCAACAAATTCGATGCCTGTTGCAAGTAGCGGCCGGCAAGTGTTAAGTAGTGAAACTGTCGTGCTATCGGCAGCTGGGGTGGTTGGCGGAGTGGTGTATGAAAATCTGTGCTGTCGCACTTATCGGACTTACACGAATGTTCGTGTTGGTACTCTCAACTTCGCAGACTTGTACGTAAGTAGTCACTCTCTTATATATCCCACGTACGCAATGTTTGCTCCAATCTGTGCTCACTCACTTTGTCTATCGGCGTAATAATTGCTATCCAGACGTCGGGTCACAACATGGTGTTCTTGTTCCCAAAGTGAGACGATCCTATCGCTTTCCGGCGCTGCAACGTGCACGGTCATCGTTGGTTTGAGCAGAAGCCGTGAATACTTGTCCTTCGGAGCAAGCGAGGAACAAGCCGTCACTGACGGGACCGGGTTCACAGACAGAATTGCCTGAAGAAATCCGGGCCCGAGATCAGGTTTAGGGTTCTATACAGTGTATGCAATCTGAGAGTCTTAGTACTGGGGTCATCCCAGCATCTGCAGAGCTTCGTCGAAACCTTGATCGATCTGAAGGAAACTAGTTGGCTCTTCTTCTTCTTGTCAACGGTCAGGTACTGAGTGTCACCACCGTTGCGGCATCATGATACCAGAAGTTCATCATGCGGGTGCGTTCTTTACCTGAATTGGTCTGCAGATACTGCGGCAGCGAAAAGCGTGATAACAAGGACCTTGAAGGAAACCATTTTTAGGTGTATCGAAAGGCTTGAGTTTATAGGTGGTAAATTTCTCTTGCTGGTGTGACTTGCTTGGATCGATGTTAGCTTGATGGCGAGCTTCGAGTGGGAGAAGTGGTCCCTATAAATAGGAAAAGCAATACGGCCACCTGGCATCAAAAGTGGCATTCACTCAAGAGATTCGAACACGAATGTTCTATTCCAAGACTTGCATGTTCCAAACACGAGCATGGTCTATCAAAATGCAGTGCAGTGCAAACCTAGCAGGACACAATCCATGCTGTGTATAGCTGGCAACGCACCTCCAAGATCGATGGCAGCAGTCCGGCCGTAGAACATGCTTCAAGCAATGTCAGATTGCAATAATGGGCATCCAACGCATTCTAGGATCAAGTCCTGCCGAGTGTCATGTCTAATAACTCTAACGATTAGTGAACTTCGTATGCGCATGATACACCATGCCACTGCGGACGTCGAACGAAGCTTCTCGGATGGTAAGCACTTTACCAATCCGGTTGCATTGACTATGTATAGCGAGTGCATCGCTGGAGAGTGATTACTATGCGCTTGCCTAGACTAGGAACCAGGCAGTTCTGGAATCATCGGCCGTGAGACACCAACAGGTGTTAGTGCATTGCTGGGTAGAGCGGTCTGCATTGAGTTCGCAGACACTAGGTCTAGGACTTGTTTGAACGCTGGCTACAGCCCTGATAGCTGTCGTTACGAACAGAGTCGTCGTATTGACAGCTATGGACCATATGCCGGCCTCTGATAGAATTTATCCGGTAAGCTGACCCCTCAGGGTGACAAGGTTCCTTCGAATGACCAGGACTAGCACCAACAGTTTATGCAGTCAAGAGTAAGCACAAAGCTAAGCGTGGGCATTGTGTTGCATGAATCGTGCACTCCAAGGCCTCAAATACTTTTTGCAGCCGAACGAAGATAGACTCGGACGAGCGGGGAAATAAGATACGAGAATCTAATTGAGAAACGGTATTAGAGTTGTATAGGATCATGAATTCATTCGAATGTGCGTGTCTTGCCCATCGTTTCTATGCCTGTTCTACGGATTTGTTGCATTACCATGTAAACGCCAGCAAACCAGGATTCAATACGATCGGCATGAGTATGTGGCACACCAGCATCAGGGCCAAGGGGAATATGGCTGTAAATTCCGTGATGTTCCATGACCAGGGAATGAAAGGCCCGAGAGCCATGATGATCATAGCAACGATCATGAACCAACAGAAGATCATGCTGTACTTGAACTTTCGGAGCACTATGGGTGCTTCGATGAAAAAGTTTGTGCGTGTCACTTCTTTCGCCGTTGCGCCCCACTGTTTGAAGAAGTCAGCTTTCGTACCATGAGCCAATGATTGTAGCTTCACATACCTGCATATCGATTCCAACAAGGTGGCAGAGGAGTGCCTGGCTAATGTGGAAGCTGATGCCGCCAAAGAAAACCAGGAACATCAAACACCATTGGAAACTCTCGAACAGGGCCGGCAGGAATTCCCTTTCTCCGGAACGATAACGTGAGACGGCAAGACCGAAGTTGGCCGCGATAGCGAAGACGAAAAGTATACTGATGAAGATCTGCCAACTGTCGACATACCACGTATCGTAGTGGCCGTTGTAGAGTCCGAGAACAAAGTAGTTAGCCAATGTGAACACCCACGCAGCGCCCAGAGCATAGTATGTTCCCAAGTAGGCAATAACGTTGATCTTGGAAGATAGAGGCATTTCCGATGCGAGGAATTTCCTGAACAGTGGCGTGAGCGGTCCTCGGAAAAGCCAGTATTTGAGAGGATGAAACATGAGTTCGTCACATCCGTAGGCGTACTTCTCCCAACGAGTGAGCTCGTCGTACACTGTCAAAGAGACACCTTCTTGGAATCCGTCCCCAAAGTAGGACGCGTATCGGAGGTGGTACCCTTCGATCTGCAGGCGAAGTGCCATATCGAAGTCTTCAGACACAGTGCTCTCTGACCAGTAGAGCTCGGGAAGCGTCGATTCTTCGTCCTCGAATGCGACATGTTGTAGCGCCGACCATCGCAAAAGAGCATTGTGACCAACAAATGGGGCAATATCGCCAGCAGCGACACCAAATTTGATACTCGTGTAGATCAAGTCCGTGAAAAATTTCATCGCATTTTCGAAGAAATCGTGGGAGACTTGCATTACTCCAGAAGAAAACTGGATAATTGCCACGTCGGGAGAAATCTCCATCTCGGAAACCGCGTCGAGAAGGCAATCTTCCGGAATCCTCGTATCTGAATCGATTATAAGGATGTAGTCGCCTATGCGAATGTTTCCCGATGCCCAGCCTTTGGGCTGATCTTCCGGTTGTTCGTTGAGCACTTCTTGGAGCGCTTGTTCATAGGCAGCAGCCTCGTCTAGGGTTGTCCACTTTTCGTCACGATCCACATTCTGCAGCTTGTCTTCGATGCGATTTGAGAAGTCCATCGCGTAATTCATGTTGGACGCTTTCTTGAACTTGCCACGGCGGACGAAGCCTGTGCCGTTGGGGTTATGTGCTGGTCTTGCCACGAATCCAATGTTGTTGTCTTCATAGAACTGAGTACGAATATGGCGCTGTTCCTCATCCAGTAATTGGAGCCCATCGTCGTTCACAAAGATGTTGGCTGAGCCACCTTGCAGCTCGTATGTGGAAATAGCCTTCATCAACGAGCTTACAGTCGGCTTCAGGACTGCCTCGAGACCTTCTTTGTAGGTTGGGCATTGGATCGTGACATGTGGAAGGTTTTTGCTCGTCAATCGAGGTGACTTGATCGCGGAGAAAGTCTCCGAGTTTTCGTGAAGCTGTTTGACCGGTCCTACTAATCGGAAGAAGAAGCCAACAATGACGAAGGCGAAGAACTATTGTTATCATCAGCCACAGTCTTGTGAAGTCCCACAAGTGTACTCACCAAACTGAACAGAACTATGATGGGTGTCAAGGCCAGGAATGCGAGCGATGAATAGTTGCCTAGAGTAGCCACTTGAATGAAAGTGTTCTGCAGCCTTCTGCCGAAGAGCACAGTCAACAAGCAAAGTGTGCATCCACTCATTATCGACCAATAGAGTCTTGTCGGTCTTGACTCTTCTCCAGCTTGCAACTCTTCATCTGAAGCAGTCACTGAGATCAAAGCTGTCTTCTCTTCCTCGATGTTGCGACTCAATCCCCAGACCACTCTTAGAAGATCCGATTCGATTGATTCGACGCGCTGTATGAGGTTCGATGGATCGTCATCCCAGACCACGAGAAGGCCTTCGCTGCGCACAAACGCTGCATATTGGTGCTTGCGCGCTCTCGACAGCTCGATAAAATCGTTGACAACTTGGATTCTCTGATTATCCCGAACAGGAATACCGGTCTCGTCATCGCTGAGGCGCTGGACGAGAGTGAAGACAAGGCGGCTCTTCACAGTCATTGCAGCCTGTGGAACCATCAGCTATGCCAGTATGCCACCGCATACCATAAATTTGTATTACCTTGGTGTTCAGAGCGGATACTGCCTGTTGCAATAGCGAACCTTTCAGCGTCAAAGGCATAGTGAGAAAGTCATTGCGGGAGTTCTTCAAAATGACACCCTCATTCGTGCCGGCCACGTCTTGTATCCACATGCTGGTACATTGTCTCTGGAAAAGGTAGCTGAGTATGATATCCCGTTGAACATCGTTAGAGTATAATGAATCTTTCCCGCTGAGTGATTCTGCATTGTCCAATGGTCCGGTGCTGGTGGGTGTTGAGTTGGTAGCGTCAGCAGGACTGGCATCGGCGCCGGCGGCCTTTTTCCCAGGTTTGAAATATGACCAGACGCCCATGGTGCTGGTGCCAAGATATGTTCGACCAGAGACAAAATGATAGGAAGACTCAAGGTTGGTGCAAGCTGACTTTTACTCCGTTGTGTTGGCGCCTTCAGGAAGATAGCTTTTCTCTCGGACACACACCCATCCACAGCTTTCCGCCTCGTAGGACCGATTGAGCTTTTGTCCTAACCCTTCTGAGCTTCTACATGCTTGAGAAGTGGCCAGATTGAGCCTCCAGATCCCGCGCGTCAGGTTTTCGGGAGAACTCAGCTGCTCGATTGAGCCTGCACGCACGGAGTGCTCCATTGTCCGCGGCCTGGACCCAGCTCGAGAACTTGGTGCCTCGACCTCTTCCTCGAGCTGCCCGAGTGGTTGGGATGTGTATCAACGCCTCAAGTGCCATACTCAACCAATCCTTCAAGCGAGTTGCCATGATTTGCCATACCGTATCGCGTGGCGATGTCAGGCTAGCACGTGGCCGGATGTGATTGTCTGCACGGAAGGCATCGCTAGAGTGTAGCTTCGGCCTGGGGTTGCACAAGTGTGGTTAGAGCGAGGTCAAAATAGAACATCGATAGAGCTTTTCTCGTAGCGATACCGAGTTGCTGGGCAAGTTCTCGTGCGCCCATTGTAGCCTGTGGGCCAACTCGCCTCTACCAGAGGTGACAAATTGGGCATTACTGTCTACCAATTGGTCAATTGCAAGTTCAAACAACCTCGAGTCGGAGTCTCTGAGATGAGTTGTGCGATTGATGGCTCGATTCGGTGCGCACGCCGTACGAAAGACTGCTTCTGCGATTTCTGGTGGCCTTCCGGGAGCCCTAGCCACACGCTATCGACCTGCAACTTGTTCAGTCCGAGCCTCATCACTCACATGGAACATTCGACATCATGCATTGGCGAGACTAAAAATTCCCATGCGAGCTGTGCGAGCAACACCGCTCGCATCCTTGCACAGCGCAATCGTGCCATCCATTGTTATCTCGGCTTCTTCGCTTGGTGCCAATTCTTTCCAGGTGTGAGGAATGCTTTACTTGGATCGGCAACGCTAGAAGCTCAAGCTGCGTGGAGTAATAAGAACTCAATGATTGACAGCCTGACAACTGGTCCTGGGTCTCGCAGTTGATGATCGCTTAGCACTCTGGCCTCGTATTCCTGCAGATGATTTTCGCCCATATTGCCAAGGAACTGGAGACGCTGCCAAGATGACAACACGGCTTGTGGGCCAACGCATATGCAGGACATCTGGAAGGCGCTTGCGTGTATGCCGGCACTCCGACGGGCCAGGCACAAGGCACCGTGGTGTTCTCGTGCATCTTGACGGAGACGTCAGAAGGTGTGGGCGTTTTGCTTCCGATGAAAGATCACCATTCTCGTAGAATGCTTCATTTCTGCCGATGGAGGGCCAGAATAGTTGCTCGCCATGGGCTATCGCGTTTCAGTGGGCCAGGTATGCAGAATGCATGTTCAAGCAGACAAGGTTATTATCTCAATCTGGAGAACGTGCCAGTAGATCTTCTCGGTAGCTTGCCTTGGACATGGAATTTCGCGCCGTGAGCCCACAGTAGAGGAGTCGGAGGCACAGCCGGGTCGGCTAAAATGGTGACAGGGATGGTGCATTGTGCTTGGAGTTCTCAACGCACGCAGCGGCGCCTTGTGGTATCATTACAATTACCGACTGAGGTGAAAGTGCGATGTAGGCAGAATGAAGGAGAAATGAGAAACAGAACAAGTGAATCAGATACTCAAGCCAAGGATCACAGAGTTTGAGTTTGGACGAATGGGAAAGTGTATTTCTCGACGTCATCTTATTTCCCGGTGGTCGCTTCCGGCGTAGGCCTATTCAAATTATTCATGTTCATCATCAACATTTCTCCCACATCTTGACCGACTTCACTTGCATCTCGCCGTTCTTCTCCCACGTTGGAAGCCACTGGTTCCGAGCTTCCCAGAACTCCTTCTTCGCAACCGGAGAAGCGTCCGCCCAGGGTTTGCCGCTCTCGCCATCTTTGAAATAACCATTCGTGCCACCAACAGCAACATTCAGAATCAAATAAAACTTCTCGTCAAATGGCGTACTAGTTCGTCCGGTGTGCGACCATGGGTCCATCAATGTTGTCCCGTTGGCAGTCGCAGGCGGGAAATTTCCACGATCCCAGAATCGACGATTGAATTTCACGTACAGAACCTGCATCAATACTGAATCCACATAGGTGAAGATGTAATTCTCGGTCCATTCCAGTCCAAAGGTATGGAACTGGTCGCCATAGTACGAGTGCAGCGCGCCCAGCTGATCGACTGTCTTCAGGTAGCCGTCCGTGTTCGTCTCCGGACCCCAATGGAGAGCACTGGTTGCCAGATTGTTACCTCCTCCTGGTCCTGCTTTGTACGAGTGGTTGTTTCCACGTGTCTCTACAATGTCGATCTCTCCCGATGCAGGCCATGGTCCATACTTGTCTTCGGTAGGCAGCATCCAGATCGCCGGCCACATCCAGTCTCCCTTTGGCATCTTTGCAACAACTTCTACTCTGCCGTAGCGAAGAGATGCGCCTTTCTTGGTATTGATGCGAGCAGATTTCACAGGCGGCACGATGGTGCCGTTGGTCGTGTTGGTATGGGCAAAGCAGTTGAAGAAGCCTTCACCAGTACAGCGGTCACCGAGGTCAATGGTGGCATTGTTCGTGTTGACAAGGCTTTCATCTTGCAATTTTGGCTTGATATGAAGAATGCCGTCCTTGACAAACAGCACATCCGCATCATCCGACATTTGGTCGAACTCTCCATTATGGCCTGCAACCTGTTGTTCGATGGTCCAGATATCGGGCGTCAACCGACCTGAAGAAAAGTCTTCGGTGAAGATGGGACAGAAGTTGCCGCCTCTCTTTTGGTCCTTGAAGCTCAGGTATACCATCACACTGCTGATACACAGTCCGATGAAGATTCCGAAGCAAGGAATGATCCAGGACTGGCGTTCAAAGATGGTCTTCTTTCTGAGCCGCCCCAGAGCATTTGGGCTTTCCATTTCACTTTTTCGAATTCGACGACTTCGAAAGTAATTGGTGCTCAATGCTTTTGCGTCCATTTCGGACGATCTCAGGTACGCACTGCTTGTGTTCTGGCATCTTGCGTCGCTAGTCCAACTCTGTCGGCTGGATGGAGCAGGAGTGTCGAATGGGTTCGGTCGTTCCAGCGGTGTGTTGATGCCACTGTTGTAGGGCGATGCTCGAGGACCAGCATAGCTGGATGCTGGTGAAGATGCAGTGTGGTGAGCCATGATCACTCAAGTTCCCACTGCTGAATCGAGTGGACCTCGGGATGAGCGTTGCATATACAACTTTCTGTGCCCGACATTTACGGCCTGGAGCTCGTTCACGTTCAACCTCGTGGCCGTAGATCACACCCTGTCGTTACCTCGAACGGCCCAGATCTCGCTTACCTCTTCGAACCCCCGGGTTCTGTGCATGATCTCAAAGTGGATCCTTTTCGGAGCGAATTTGTTCCCAAGCCCGTTTTCGTAGCGCTACTGCACTCTTTCGGGCCAATATGCAGAGCCAGGATGCCGGATTCAGCATTGTTCGAAACCTCATCTGGGCACTCGCATACATGCGGTCTGCTCGCCACCACGCTACTTCCAAGGATCCCAATAGTGTTACCTGCACGCGCACTGCTGCTGCTAAGCGATGCACAACAATAGCGTTCTTCGCACATGCCCGAGCTCACAATTCGACTTGTCATTCCGATAACCTGCGGAGCAGAAAGCTGGTTGGGGTTCACTCAACAATGCAGTACTAGTGCATCTCATCCGCAAGGCTACATGGCAATTGTCCAGGCTGGCCCAAAGCACAAGGTCTTGAGGCTTTCGCCCAGCCTCGTTGCAGCCATGTTTTTGATCCTATCAATAGCTGAGCGCATGCATTTGATGTAGGTTGGGCAACTTATCTTGTTTGACTACCCTCACTGGCCCAATCACCCGTGTATACGCACTGCCTCCGGGAGGCACTCCGAGGTCAACCCATTTCTCCCACGTGTCTGATGGGAATCACGAGGAACGAGTGTAGCTGAAGGGCGCAGGCGATGCAAGGTCTACTGCTCTCGTTTTCGCGTTCCTGTTCTTCGTGCTGTCGATTCTTTTGCCACTATCTTGCCGATGAGGGACGCGCCCTGCTGGCACCTCTGCTGGCACCTCTGCTGGCACCTCTGCTGGCACCTCTGCTGGCCTTCCAGCTGCCTCTGACAGTCGTTGGCGCTAACTCGAGTGCATGCTGGTGCGCACTTGCGTTATTGACTCTTGGGAAGCCGCGAACAGAACAAACTTGCGAGGGAAGTTGCATTGGCACGTCGTGCTTGCGGTAAGTGCACTCACCGTTCTCAGACGTCTTCATTGTCACGATTTCAGAAGACTCATGTTGACGATGGGAAGCTGACATTACTGCAGGTTGTGAGGCAAGAAGAACTGATATTGTCCCAGCTTGCAAGAATTTAGAAGCGTATTGACCTCCAATTTCAAAACGACTGCATCTTCCAAAATGACATTACTTTCATGGCTTGGCTGGTGCATCCTCCCTGGACGATCGTTAGCATACTGGAGACGAGCGATCTCGCAATGACTTACAAAGTTCGCACAAGATACCCAATACGTGGAAAGTGAATGCGCACACCACCATCGGTCTCAATCACAACCTCATTGACAGAAGTTCCAAGCAGCTTGCCATATTGTGGATGAGAGCCAGGAGTAGAGCT